CACTTTGATGGGCGCACTTGAAAGCTTCCGGAAAAATTCAATTGAAAACAAGAAAAACCACGATACTATTGAATGTTACGACTGGCGGATATCCAGCAGAAATCCTTACAAAAATAACATTATTCATTAAAAACTTTAATATCAATACTACTAAATACTATATTTATTGAGGGATCAAATAAATACAAAATGAATAATTAAAGGGCACTGCATATCGACTATCATAAAATCATTTATTTGCGCTACTTTTTGGTATTTTTATTGGGGTTTGAAAAATGTTGGCGCAGTGGCTCTGTGATTTTCACGGGATTTTGCGAAACTATTTTCGGTGTGGGGGGCAAGGGCAGGAGGATAACTCTCTGAAAATTTTTGGTGCGCATAAATTTTAACACCAATTAAATCGATAACTTTCTGTGCATGGAAGCGTCGCAAAATGCAGATTATGTATACGCGGCGTTGCGTCTGTACGCATGGCTGCTAAAATCGGGGCCAAAAGGGGGCTTCGGGGGCCAGGGGCCAGGGGCTTTTCAGAATGTAATTAGTAAATATATGTAAATGAATTTTGACGCAATTTTCGCAGAGAGCGAGTGCTCGTAGTGCTTCTAAATTGTAATTAATTCTAATTGGTTTTTTAAATGTGTCAATAAATTTGTGCCCCTCTGTAACTCTACTGGAGTATCAATTATTCTTTTGGTCAATTGCATAATCCCATGGTCCATGGTCATGAATCAAAAGCATTGAGAAAATCCCCACCTGGAATGGCACACGTGTGTGGCAGACAGAGCTGCCGCTGTCCCTGTGGCATGCGAGGTTATTGAAAAAAACCCCACGACGACGGCCATGCATAAATCAAGCTAGCGACTGTCTTTCGGTTATTAATATGCCCAAAAACCAACCAAAAGTATTTCAATGATTTATGGCCATGCTATGGTAACTCGAACGGGGATTAGCCGAAGGTGGAAAGCTGATTACGCCCCTCTGTGCACCTTCCTGTGGCAGGTGAATTTTTCCTGCGCTTTTGTAACAAGTCAATTTGTACTGGGAATTCACGCAGTTGATGCCCCACCGCACAAATCATGTTCCATTGCAGCAGCAGCCAGCGGAGCAGCCACGGACCTAGTAAAACGTGTAGCGGAGGGACTATGCATCTTAATGACCACCCCAATCGCCCCCAACCCGCCAGAGGTAGCTAGAACTTGCCGCATAAATATGAACTAAGCTCCACACTTTGTCTGTGTGTGTGCGTGCTTGCGTTTGTGTGTGTGCTGGTGGGGCGTGTCCTTTTCCCCGAGTCGCTCGCTGAATCGCTTGTGTGTTTAGCGCAAGCAATTGAGCAGCTGCACTAAGTTTGTTAGCCGCTTAGTAAGACGAGACTAGAAATATACCCTGTAAAATGAATCCCAGGGAAAATCTCTCCTAGGAGAAACTAGGTCCCAGAGAAAATCTGGATGCATTCTTCTGAGACGCTGGGTGCCAAGTCATCAAAGAGAGAGTTTTCCATTCTTAGTTCTTCATACACTTCTAACAATCTTCAATACCTCTTTTGAGGCCATGAATTGCTTAGATAAAACTCCAGGATCTGAGTAATTTCGCTCCCAAAGAAGTATTTCCTTTTTTCAAACAGCAAGCATTCAAAGTCCATGTCCAGCTCATCCAAAGGCCATCAAACCTGTTTTGATGACTAACCCAAATTCTCAGGTGACATGTTTCCCAATTTTCGAGTACACTTCCCTGACGTCTGCTAGCTTGAAAATTGATCCCCTGCTGAGCATCTGAAAGTCGTTCAATATTTAGCCACTTGTTGTTACGGTTTTGCTGCCTGTTGTCCGGTTTTCGGGGGCTTTGTTAATACGCCTCTCAGGCTCTGGCATTTGTCGGGTGTTCTCCGGATCTCAGCAACGGTCTAGCGTTTTCGTTTGGTTTACGGATTCGTATTCGGATACGGATAGGGATACGGAATTGTGATTCTGTTGCTGGTTGCTAGTTGCTGGTGGCTGCTTGTGCGCACTGTTTTGGCTTGTTTATGATTGCAGCAAGCGGTTTGGCAGCAATTATTGCTAGAAGAAACAACAGCCAGAGAGCAATACAGACGGCCATAGAAAGGGTGGAGAGTGGAGAGTGGAGAGGAGGGGTATAATGCGCTCGGTTTTAGTGTCATTTGCCATGTTGTTGCTTTCTTTGTGGCATCCTTGTTCTGTGTGCAGTTGAGCATGAAATATGCCTGAAGTGTTTGCGGGGGGTTGACCAAAAAGTTGCACTACCCAGATGGGGACTACAGAGATTTCAAAGGGGATTTCCAGAGCTATGCACACCTTGGACTTAACCTTCTGCCATTTTTGAAATTTATGCTCCAATATCAACTCTTTCATTTAGTTAGTTAACCGCATATAGAAAAGGCTGAGTGAGAGAGAGAGAGAGAGAGAGGGAGAGAGTAGCTAGGGGTTGTGCATTCCAGCCACTGCAATGCAGCTATAAATTGTTACAAACTTTCGGCAATTAGGTAGAAATGTGTTGTTGGGTCGGAGGCCTCCTTGAAACCGCATGAAAGCAGGCCAGTAGTAACTTGGCCAACAGTTAAATAAATGCGCTTGCATGTTTAAGCCAAATAATAATAAAGAAAATCGTTGTTGCTGAGGATACTCTGCCAGTCTCTGGCTCTGACTGAGCGAAGGCTGCATATTTGTGGTACCTCTGGTAGGGTATATAGTAATTGCCGAAACGTGCGTAACAGACAGCTTAAAAGATACCTTTTCCTAGGAGATTGAGGATTAATATCTCTCAGCAGAAGCCGTTAAACACCAAAATAAATATGCAAAAAATACACAACAAATCATAAGATCTCATAACAAAAACAAACAAACAAGAAAATAATTCACATTATGAATTATAAACGCATTCCATTTGCAAGTAATTACATAAATTACTGATGAAAAAAGCAGGGTCAACCGAGTGGTGGGGGCGGAGGGGGAGCCTCGGAAAACAGAAGTGAAAATCATAGAAATCAATTGCAGGAAAAAAATACAATCATAATACCTCGTATTGTGGGGGGTAGACAAAAAGGATATAATAATGAAAGCGGAATATTCCAGGAATGGTATGGCAGGGCAGGCCTTCGACGGCCAGCTATAAATACAAATGACAATAAATTGTCATTTTGACCACAATAAATATAAATTAAATAAATTCAATGAAACAAAAACCAGCAGCAGATCCACCCAATGGAATGCATGAGCTGGAAAAATAAAAACGATGGAAACAAGAGACAAAACCGAACCAAACAACAACTGCACAAAAAGGGAAAGTCAACAATTGTCATTGTCAACCTCTGGCTGCCAATAAATTGCATTATTAGAGTACACTGGGGAAAATAATATATATCCAAATTCATTCTCTAAATGCATCATCAAAGGAATACTCTGGTTTTCTCTCGGTGTAAATGCTGAGGCATGTGTGTGCGATAGTTTCAAAGAGGAGTATGGGTGCAGAAAACTATTTGTAATACAATCAGCAATGCTGAGTGAGAGGGGAGTTCTCCCCCTCCCCCTCCACCCCTCCAGTCGTCGGACTTCTAACCCTCGCAGCCTCTAGATCGCCCTATGCTGACATGCGTGTTTGTTACAGCAATTGTCAACATAAATAAAATTAAATTAATGGAGTAGGGAACTCACACACGCACACACACGCACACACACACACACACACATGCCCACGCATAAAGCATGTAAAGTATATGTATATGTGCCACACACATGCATAGAGTCTGTCTGGCTGTCAGAGTGGCTGTCAAAGTGACCATTTCATTTAATACAAACACACTGGCATTGTCTGTCTGTGTCTGTGGCCCTTTGTGTGTTTTTGTTTTTGTGCCCCGCCCCTCGACAAGTGGAAATTAAACACGCACCCAAAACGCACACACATGCACACGCATACCCTGTCAATTGCCATTTCCATTTTGGCTGATCATTGGCATATAAGCAAGACGCACACATCCATACAATCCTCTGGGGACGCCATTTTGGCTTGACTTTCCTGCCGTCTGACGAATTTTTTCTTTCTCAGTTTTTGTTTATTTTCTATCCTTCATTATATTCGCAATTGGTCGCTTGTGGTGTTCCCCCTTTTCTTGTCCTCTTTCTTTTCTTTTCGCCTCTATTTTGTGATGCTCTTTTGTCCGAAAGATAAACGTTGGCTCTGGTTTTGGCTGGTGTTTGAAAGGTGGCAAAAGGTATAGGTTACACTGAGCGAAATTGTTAGAGGATGCCTGGGATATATAGAGAGTTTTAGGCAGAAGTCCAGCGTTTTGATATGAAGAAACCTGTTTGTATAGCTAACATTTTAATAACAAATCGGTTCCTGTATTATCTGTATGACCAATCAGGCTAAGAGTATGCCTTTCTATTTTTGATTACTTTTTAGTTAACGAAAGTAGGAAAATGCTCTTAGATCTTAAGATATACTTTATTTTTCATATGCTAAAAGGTTACTCAAATCCCAAACCAAAAACCGCATTAATTTTCTCGAGTGCGCAACAAAACCAAACAGTTTTCCCAAGGCTTTCTGAGCTTTTCCCCCCAGTCCTTTGTCTATTTTTTCCCCCTCATAAGCACACACACAAACAGAGACGGAGAGACAGGGAGACAGAGAGATAGAAATACAAATGGCCTTGACATTTCTTATGCTTATCGCTGTCAGTGCAGGCGTTGAAATTGTAATTTGTGTAATCTCAGGTGGACCAGGCAACCAGGGCGGCCCAGAACGGAGGCAGCTCCTAACAAAGAAATAAAGGTGTCGGCGAGGGTCGTGAGTGCGTATGGCTCCATTTGCGCAGAGAGAGGGAGAGAGAGAGAAACCACTTAAACCGCTTGACAAACTGGCGACAGTCGCATGTTTCCTTCTCCCCATCCACTAATTAACAGCAGCAACACATAATGCTAATCCAATGAGGGCGGCCGCCTGAGGGGGGAAAAACTTGACATTTGTATTAAAATTAATTAATTTATTTGTTTTCATATTATATAAATTACATTTAGAGCTTTTGCACTGCTTAAATCATACGCAAGAATCATTTCATTTTTTTGTTTGTTTGAACTAATTAGATTTTTGTGTATTTGTGTGGGTGTATCTGTGTGTGGGGGTGGATGGGTGGGCGTTTACATGTGACGGGCATTGCCAAAGCCTCCATGGCCGGACTGGCTGGCGCCCTTGTTGAAGCCCATCTGCAGATTAAGCTCGCCCTCGTGGGCACGGAGCTGCTCCTCGGTGAAGACGCGTTCGTTCTTGTCCGACATCTTGGGGCCCAGAGTGGGGCCAGTGAACTCTGGATGCTTTTGCGTCTATTAACAAGATATGAATCACTGCCAAATGAGTTTTAAAATGTCTTTTAGGGCAACACTTACAATGCGTCCCAGGGCGTATAGGGAGAGGGTGACCTGTGGAATATTGCGACGCTCGAAAAGATCGGCTGTCTGGAAGATCTCCTCCTCGGGGACACCGTACTTCTTGACGGCCGCCTGGAAGCGCTGGATGTTCTCCATCAGCTGGAAATTGGTGCCACGCTCCTGGATCTTCTTCACGGATCCGGGTGCCAGCTTATTGGCCAGCTTGCACAGCCAGATGCCGTCCTTGAGGATATCCTCATACTGTCCGCTGGGCACCTTCTCGCCGAGCACGGCAAAGACCCAATTGAGGACTTCCTGTTCCTGTTCCTTGTTGCGTGGCTACAAAACAGAGAGACAGAGAATGCTTGTAAGTGCTTTGACAATTGAAACATGAGAATGGCAGCCAAGCGCCTGGCAAATCGTGGGACAAAAGTGAGGGGAGAAACGAGAGAAATTGTCTCTAAAAATAAATAGAGCCAAATCCTGCTCACGGATTGCCCTCAAGTTCAAAGGTCAGTGTCTGTGTCTGTGCCCGTGTGTTTCCATTTGGAAACACACCCAAATCAAAGCAGGCTACGGTGGCAGGCCACGACACGACAGCAGCAAGAGCCAGAGACAGAGTCACAGTCAGAGTCAGAAGCACAGAGAAATAGATTCATTTTCCAATTAATTAATTTTGATTCCAGGACTCGCCACCGCAGACGGGGAGGCATTTTAACGGGACGACAGTTGACAGCAGAAGCCACTAACTGTTTAATTGAAATTTACGCAGAAAAGCAATATACATTTCTGCTCCCTGGGTGGAGCTCAACGGTGCAGTTCATTCACCCGACAAAAAAACTGAATGATTTGTGGAAAAGAAACACCATTTCTCCCCCACGCATGAATCTAATTGACCTCCGGAACAAGTTTTGCTAATTAAAAACAATGCTAAAGCGTCCCCATAAAATATTTATCTAGTGTGCAATGCGGCGTATACGCAACAATTACCCCTGAAACTGAACTATTTTCGTAATTGAAATCTGATGCTTATACACACCACACCATACCACACCCATCCGCTCATTCGCTCATCCGCTCATTAATATTTCGCACATTTGTGCTGCATTGTTCGTGGGTTATGTTGCCATTTTTGCCATTTTTATATGCCTTTGCCGGGGCCAATTGTGGCTTTCTGTTTGCACATATTCGCGTTTGAGCCTGTGTCATTTGATTTGTGGCTAGGCATTCGAAAATCGAATCGAATAACATTTTTTGGATACGAAAATCGCGCCCACAAAACCAAAATGTCCGCAAAATGTCACATTGCATACAAAGTGCAAACATTAAAAAATAATAATAAATTTAACAATTTAATTTGAAGCGATTTTTTGTTGTTGTCGTTGCAGGTAAAAGTGCAGCGAAATATAGAGAAAATCTGGTTAAGGGAGATAAATAAACTTTAATCTAACATGCAAAATAAGTAAATAAACATTATATTCCTGTTAAAATAGATATTAGAGGTATGAGAGGTATTAGAAGTACATTGAGGGGTTTTTTAAGAGCTCTATCAGCCTCAAAATCACAGTCACTCCCTTTTCCGCCTATCGGCCTAATCTATGAACCCACAATCTTCTAATCTCCATAAAGGATATCTTTCAGATGTATTTAAAACTCATTCTCAGTTAGTTCTCCTGTTGTTGCTATTCTTTCGACTGTGAATTATTGCTGGTTATTCTTCTCTCTGTTGCATTCACGTACATTCATATTCTTCAGTTGTGAAATTATTTATTTATTTAATACACACATACACACACATATGTGAATATGTGGCGTATTGATGGGTTAAAATTGAAGCTGGAATCTGCCAACGAGGCTCCGGGCATCGCGCGGTATCAGGCAGCAGCACGCTTTAATGGCAACCAATGAACCGAGGGGATTTTAATGAATTGTACGTCAATTTGCATTTGCAATTGCTTCGATTCCCATTCGATTTCGACTCGAACATTTTTCCCTCTCTGTGTTTTTTTATATATTTTTGTTTGGTTTTTTAATTGAATGTACAAACAATTCGTGGAGTTCGTTGTGGAGTGTTGTTGCTGATCTGCTGATAGAATTGCATTTCATTTTTGGCTCTTGGCTCTTGCCTCTTGCCCCTCCCTTCTCTCTACCTTCTGGCTTCCTTCTCTCTCCTACTGTTTTTCTCATTATTAATTGGTTTATCTGGTTGGCCGCTTGACAGTCGTCGTCGGTTTTCTCTTTCGCTGTTTGCCATATATTAAAAAATCATTTTGGTAGGTGATGAACGGCTAAGTGATATCGATTGTGGTCAGGAGCCACGACCAATGGGGAAGTCCTGACATGCTGTGTCTTTGAGGTTGAACACTGGGGAATAATTTGCAGCTGAAGCTCTTTAATATTTAAAATTCTTTTTTCCACTGCAAGGAAGTGGAATGTGTAATTCGTTTTATCTGAATTTTTCCAGACATAATTTTGCTGTTGTGTTTGTGCGCCCTGACCTTCAAATAACCCTCAACTTTGTTTCATTTTGAATGGCGCCCTCTTTTTTTTTGTTAGTTTATTTTTTCCTTTTTCCGGACTGCTGGGTGGCGGTGGCTGGCTGGCATAAATATACAAATTTTCATTTGTACATAAAGATAAACGCTCATTTTTGCTGCTGCTGTTATTTCAATTTGTCATTTGGACGGCTGCCAATTGCTGCGGAAAAGCAAATGAAATGAAAATTCTGCCTGACAATAAGTTTTTTTTTGTGTTTTTGTTTGGTTTTGTTTTGTATCAAAAGTGTACTTTTTTACAGTCCAGTCCCAGTCCCAGTCCCAGTCCCCTCCGCGTGTCCTTGAGAGGATTGTAAAAACCGTGAACTAAGCACACGGTAAATTGCATTAAAGTTTCGGTTCATTTTCCTTGGGGTTTTCTTCGCCGGGGTTTATGTTTATTGCCTTTTGTTTTGTTGCCAAGAAAATGCGGCAGACGCGCATCAACAAATTGTTTTCGGTGGTTCTTGGCTCAACAGATTGCTGTATAGACAGTGAAAATTGTTGGAAAATATCCCCATACATTGTTTAAAGGGGATTTTCTTGGGGGATGAACTCATCGTTGCATTTTCCATTAAAAATGCAATAAATCAAAGCTAGCCAATGTACAATCATTAATTAAAATGTGTCAGACCAAAAACTGTGGATTTACTTTTAAATACATTATAAAACATATGGAATTTATTTATAGGCAGTCTCATAGGTAATGCAGATTATTTATTGCATGTTAATTTATTTTCACAAATTGAAAACTTTTTTCTGTTGTCATCAAATCACCAGGCATTAAAATACATGAAAAACGCTGAAGTATGTCAAGCCTTCAAAGGCCAAGAGTTTTTCGTGCATCGGTGACATGGCATTCCCGAATGGGTCTATAATTCAGATTATAATTCGCTCCAATAAAGCGCATAGTTCTTTCTGTCAGTTTCTCTCATTATTGAGAGACAACTGTCAACAGTGAATGGGAAATGTTGGCAAATTAATTATGCATCGAAAGTGCCAAAGGGAACGGCGAAAAGTGCTAAATAATTTATGCATCAAAAGAGTAAAAATATTGTATAAAATATTTAAGCCCTGCAGCAGGAGGACAGACGCCCCGAGTGAGTGACAGAGTGCAATGCAACCAAAATGCAGGCCACGGTCTGGGCTCTGGCCTCTGGCCTCTGGGTCTGGGTCGTCTACCCATCGATCCTTGGACCAAAAATATACGGCTGGTTAACTGGGGGAGCCCACAGGGGACCAAGGGCGGCCCCCACCCTTGCGGCAAAGTGTCAACAAAGTGATTTTTTATTTTAATTTACAAAAAAGGCTATGAGATATGGAATGGTAGAAATACTGGTACGAGAAATATATGCAAATGAATTATGAGCTGACAGCTGACTCGTGGGCGGAGGAAAAAATACATTTTCTAGAAAATGCTTCACACAAATGAGGGATTTTCGTAAACATATCAGTCTTAGAAGTATTGGAATCCGTCGTTGAAGCAGTGCAACAGTCCAGCAAGCAGTTTAATGTGTCTAAAATCACTGAAAACAGTTTTGGAAGCACTGTAGTCCGTCTGGCAGTCTCGTATGCGATATATGAGAATGATTTATGATCAGGCAGCTGCCTTGACGAGTGGTCGGAGTAGAATATACTTCTGCCAGAAAATTATATTGCACACAAATGATTACTATTCATGAGTCTATCCACATAATACTTGTATCTGCCCGATTGTTAATTGACTATTTAAATATTTAACCAATTCAAAAATAAAATTAAATTAAAAATTAATTAAATCGGGACACGTTGCTTGCAATTAAATATTTTGTGTGTTTAATTGCTTATTTAAATATAAATACATATACATATATGTATGTACATTGATGATTTCGTTGCGCATTGATATTCCATTGATTGTTCCATATCATATATTTGTATGAATGCACATGTTTTATTTATTTATTTATTGTTTTAATAACCAGTTTCGCAATAACTGAATATTCTGAAATTTTAATTTGTTTGTTTTCTCATTTCATTCCGATTTATTTGATAGCAGTCTTTGTGTTTCTGGTGTTCAAATTAATTGATTTGAGTATATATTCATCAGTACGTGACTTTCATACTATAGTGCCCATTTATAATTTTGTTTTTTTTGTCAGATTCGTGCTCTTCTTACTTTTCTTTGTGCAGGAAAATGTTCCACTCGAAAGGGTGGCATTTGGGAATTTAAAAATATAGTTGTAATCCTAGAGAAAGTCGAACAATCGCTGCTTGAAGTAAGAGACATATTTATCACTCTTTAAACATGTTTTCAATATTCAATCTGTTTTTTCTAAGTGATTTTCGGTGTATTCCCCACAGCTCCTGATGAGCCAGGGTATTCGGATTTAATTATATTTAACACTATTTTGAAACCAGTTTCCCTTTATCCATACAGGACTAGCGGATATGCTTCTGTTTGTAGAACTTACAGCCATTGTGTTTTTATTTATTTAGAAAATGCGAAAGAACTATGCTTTTTGCGTGTGGCGCGTTTGAAACAAAATTTTCAACTGACGCAAGTTGTTCGAAACAGTTTTCCATTTAGCCTAAGCGAAAAGATAATTTACGAAAAATGCTGAAAATGTTTTTGGGCTAAACTAATGCCGTTGCCACGAATAGATATAGATTTAGCCGATGCCAAAATCGCCCAAAATAAAGCCAATACGTGGGAGGGAGGCAGATGGGGGCAACGGGGCGGATGGGTAGCAGTAAAACAAATATAGATGCCAGCGGCGGAAGCTCTTGGTGACGTCACAGTGGGGGGCTGGCTGGTGGAAGACAGAAGTGTGCCTTGTGCCACTCGATTCCCTTTCGGTTTCTCTCATGGCTGTTGGCCAGTAGAACAATTTCAAGCAATTTGCCAGCAATTATGTTAAGACAAGAGATCATGTTGGTACCTCAGAGTATCTCAAAGATACACACATATTTGTACCTATGGTTGCGGGGGTGCTGTAGATTCCTTGAATATTTGCCCACTAATTGAAATTGCTGGCTAATTAATTCGCATACATCGTTTGACACTTGCCGACAATTTTAGAAATTACTCATGCGTTTGACAAATGCTTTTCCACACGACTCTCTATGCATTTCATGAGCAAAAATAAAATTTTGATTTGGAAATTTTTGGTGACAAGAAACTTTTACTGCACAAACAAACGCACCACAACAAAGCCAGGAACTTTCTTTTGTTTTCGGAAATGTAATTAAATTCCCTTGGAGGTAGAATGTTTATTCTCCGGGCCAAGTTCAAGTTTAAGTTTCCATTCAAAATAAACATAAACCACAATACCTGATGTCTGATGCCTGTCGGGGGCCCATAGAAACATTTTTTTTCACACCTGAAGCCCATAAATTCGAGCATCTCTCTCCCTCTCTCTCTCTGAAATTTGTTTTTTTGTTTACTCAGTTGTTCAATTAAATAAAACTGTACATACTATATATACTATATATTGTTTCATAATTAAATAATTTGGAAATGATGCAGAATTAATTTGCTGGCATAAATCAAATCAAAATCTTTTCATCCTTTGCCTCGTTTACAGATAGACACTCCTCAACCTTGTGGTCAAATAAAATATTTACGCTTCATTTAAGAAAGAAAAAGCGCTCAATGAAATCTTTTCAAACAACGAAATGAATAATTTTGAAATGTTTTTATGTATTTTCCAACACAACTCATAGAAATTAAAATTTATGGATAAATGAACTTCACCATGAGCCCCGCTGCCGTGTGTGAAAAGTGTGAAACGAAAACAGAATAATTCACGCACACACCTACACCTACACCCATTCGTAGTCGTAGTCGCAGTACGTGAGTTGGAAAAACAGCTGCCAAGGCTGCAATCAAAATTAATTGAGCAACTCACGAGTGTGCGTGTGTATCTTTGTATCTCTATCTGTGTCTATGTCAAAGTGAAGGCGTTGGCGTGGGCGTTTGTCCTACAAAAAGTAGCCGAACCGAACGAACATTTGCTGCCAAGATATCTGGCAATCGAAATCATTTTCTGTGTAAAAAGCATCAGATTTATGAGAACATGACGAGTGGCGGACGGCACGGGGACAGGGAGGACAATCGTATTAAAACGCGGTAATGAACGAATACTGAGTGCTCTTTGTGGAATATTTTGAGTACATGTGAAAAGATACCCCTTTGACAAATATTCTAGATACTTTCAGCACCTCTACAGAGCATCAAAGGCACTGGGTTGGATCTTTGTAGCTTGGCCAAAACAATGGACCAACTGTTGCGCATAAATAAGAAACAGAAAATGTGCTTTAAAGAATAATGCAAACAGAGAAACGGAAACAGAAACAGAAACATAAGGCAGAGCCTAAGCAGCTTTTGGTTTTGCCCCTCCTTCTCCTTTTCCCAATGGAAAACACTTGTCGATGATTATGTTCAAGGCAAACCGCACACACAACACACAACCAAATCGAGGTCAATTGTTTGTATCTGGATACATCCAGCAATTTGTATCTCCCGCTTCCACCACAAAATGTGTATCCCAAAGATTAGATTTCACCCCTGCACCCCCACCCCTTGTGGCAGCCACTTAACTGTGCTAATTAATTCTTTGTGCTTGATTTGGCCCAGAATTTCTTTTATTTATTTTCCTGGAAAAGGAATACTGAGAACTGAATCCTACACTGATATTTCTTTCCCTTCTTTCCTTTGATAAAGGCCCAATGTTAAATTTCATATTAAACATTTGATAAAATGCTTTACACAATTTTAAATTCATTTAGGGAACAATTAGGGCAAAAAGTGAAGTAATTTAATGAAATTGATTGCAGCCGTAGGACTTTATGCACATTTGGACACACACGGAAAACAATTTAACGCTAATTAGAAGCAAACACTGAATGTTTGAAGCAATTAATTATGCATGCTGATTATTGATAGCAAAAAAATAACTTCATGGAATGAGAGCACCATCTGAAATATATGATATGCTTTATCCTTGTCCCAAACAAAAACCAAAGAGAAATGCTAGCTCCCCCAAAGAATGGCCAAACTGAGCGTAATTTCCCTTCGGGACTCAGTATGTATCTGTATCTTTATCTCTGAACATGGTCGTAAATGAATTTCGTATGCAAAATAAGTGAAATGTACATTTTATTTAGACAGTTCTCGACTCCATTTAACATTCAACCAAAAGATTGCTGTTTACAAGGAGTCAACAGACGACGAAAAAACGCTTATTTCTGGAAAGGCATTAAAAGATTGAAGCTATCCGAGAGAAAGAGACTTATGACGTAAATGAATTTCACTTGGTTTTGAAGTTGTAAATTACAGAGATATCTGGTCTGTTCTGCTCTGTTTCTATAGTAGGTTGCACGACCTGCCTCCCAGTTGGCAGAGCTGCTACGATTTTCCCCCTATTTTTTCTACCACTACATGTGCTCCCCGCTTGGCGCATGCAGTGGGGAAAATTTATCTTTTGCTAAACAAACAATTTTCAATTTAAATAATTCTTCCTTCTTGCATACTATCTTGAAAAACGCTTTTACCATCTACTGCTCGCTCCTCTGCCCTTACGAATACGAATAGTTGAATAGATATTATATGGTGTAAAAGGAGAGATGTATGAAATGCAGAGAGAACTTGCAAAAATATTCTAGCCGCGGGGCGGGAGCATTAAAAGGCAACACGCAAACAATTTGCGATATAAACTCATAAAAACCCCCCCAAAAAAAATATACACAGAAACATACAGGAAAAATGCCGGGGAGTTTACTTGCTCCTCTATCTATGGCATATTTCACCTCAGGCTTTTTTTTTTGCTAATAAGCCCACTGCCACTACCACTTCCACTACCATTTTCATTTCCATTTCCGTTCGCATCCGATCTGCGCCCTCGATTTGAATTGTAGATTCTGCTCACAATTTTTGGGGATGTGCTGCAACGTGTGCAGCGTGTAAACAGCATCTCTGTTTCTGGATATCAGTTTTTGCTATTAGTAAACATTTATGTTTCTCTATTTTTCCAACAAAATTTGCCACTCATTTCCGTTGCGTACAATGTGTTCTGTGTTCTGTGTGTGTGGGATTTTCTTCAGCTTTTCTCTGTTTTTGCTGGCACAAATTTAATGACAGCTGTGGGCATATGTTGCGCCTCCGCTTGGAGCTCATTGAATGCCTCAATATACAAATACGAGTATACACAATATCAACTCGTTTATGTGGTCGTGTCTGAGAAGTTTTTTTTTCTGTTCTGTTCTTTTTTTCGTGCATATTTGATGTGTAGCTAATTTTTGTTGAGATTTTTGCATGTTTTTTGTTGGTTTTTGGATGATTTGTTGTCTGGATTTTTCGACATTTATTGGCTCGGAGCTGTCTGCAGAATACTTTTATGCCTTTGTTTTATTTATAATGAAATTTGTGTGGGCTAAATTTATGGCAATTTCTCTTTAAGATCTCATATGTGCTCATATGTTTTCCCACATTTAATTTTGCATAAAATATAACGCATCTAACAGGAGTATCTTGTATCTTTTGCCTTCGCTTGTGTACAAATATTTGGGGATGGAAGCAAATCGAAAAGAAGGAAGCAGCACACACACAGATACGCTAGGAATGTGTGTAAGCTATTTTGTTTGTGTATGTATTGTAAATGCAAATGAAAATTCTCTTGTCTCCATCGCATGGAAGTGCATTAAAACATGCATGAGCCATGGAGCTGCTCCTCCATCTTCCAGTGTCTCTCTGTGTGTGTCTGTTTGTGTGTGTATCTTTGTAATCACTTTATTTTGCATATGTGAACTGAGAGCTAACAGTATAAGCGATGCAACTGTGTGTGTAAATAAATTGCAAAAATATTTTAAAGGTTGCCTGCCACAACCACGTCGTTCTACCTCTACCTAGAGAAGGAAAGGCTGTCAGTAAATGAAATAAAACTAAAGGAAAACTTTGCAGGGCAGGGGCAAAGCAGGAGCTCAGCGAAGCATCCAGGACAAGACGTCGAGCATAAACTTGCTCAAGGATTTGTAAAATTTATCGTAGACATCATTATGCGACAATTTCTCTAGCTTACACCCACGCTTCAGCTTCAGCGTGGCAACAGCAGCTGCAACATGCAACATGCAGCTGAAGCTGGAAGCTCATGTGTTCGTTCTGGCATTTTTGCATTTCACGTTTTACATTGGCAAAATCGTTTTTAAAATGCAAAAAAGCTAACAAAAAATGACATAAGGAAAACACAACTAAATTATTCAAAACATAAGCAAGCGATGTGATGTATGATAGGGGGGAAAACTAACGAAACTTCTGCACGAGGCAATATGCAGAGGGTTGAGAGTGTTTCGGGCAGATTGCCTTATTTTCCTAATTGATTTTGTAGGATTAAACTTTATTTGCACATTTATGAGAGAACTGCTTGAACAGTTTGATTTCTAGGTACACTGCTTGCACATCGTTATTCCTAACTAAACTGCTTGTTCTGCTTGATTA